TATATATATATATATATATATATATATATATATATAATTTAAATAGGTTAGCTGAAATCTATACAAATTAAAAATTTAATTACTGTATACTGTAGTGAAAAGTTACAAACTGACAAATCATAAAATATTTACAATATCTCTTTGAAAGTTTTTCTTATTGTAAAAGTAGCTAAAATGTTTGTATAATTACAGAAACAATCTTTCTTTTACATATATAATGTTTATTTTTTAAACTTCGTTAAAAAAACTATGAAAAATAACTCCTCTTCTTAAACATTCAACTGCTTATATATATAAAAAAAACTACAATGAATTATTGTCATCATATTTCTAAACAGTTGAATTCTTTCCAAAGAAACAATTCCATCAACAAAAACATTCCCGCACCGGAATTTCCCCGTTACAAAACATCCAAAGGAGTGAAAAATTATTTAAATAAGCATTTCAACTCATTCTATTTTGAATACAGTGTTTAGAGCTAGAAAAATGTCCTTTTTCGCGATTTTAATGATACCCTATGCTGCAATTATAGTGGCAAATGCTTTTGTTATACCTATACTATCAAGCAAGTGCTTTTCGAATACAAGTACAGTGAATAAAACGTAGGCTTTAATACTGTTAACGGGTTTTGAGAAAGATCCAAAGCGTTGGATTTTAATTACTCCTTTGGGGAGATTTTTCATGTGGAAAAAAGAAAAACTGAGTTACAAGCGTATTGCAAGAAAATGTGACTCATAAATCACTTTTCTCTTCTTAAAAATTCAAATGAAAGACACTTTTCATTTAGAACTTAAAGGAACAATTTTTAGCCAGTCACGAAAAAGAATCATTAAAGTGATTTAACGATTTATAAATCAACGAATTTAATTTGATTAAAAACATCAATATATCTACATTTACATAATGTCAGTACTTTGAAACACAATAAGGTTCAAATTTTCCGTAACCTTAATTTAGAATTAAACTTTGTTTTCGTTTAAAGGGAACCATATTATCATGCAAGAGTCACGATAATATGGCTTAAACTAGTGCTGTGCTAAGATTGCAGCCGATTTGAACGATATTATCGTTGAACTTGCTTTGAACCTTATGACAGTGTATATCTTTCATACAAAAATGTATTTATATTTGCACATGAATCGTATTCGTTAGTTGCCAGCAAAAGATAATTTTTTACTGTTTGCTACATTTTCAGATAAAAATAATTGTATGTTTGCCTAATATCACATTCTGTTGCATGAGCATTATGAACATGTCAAAACGTTAAAATTGATCCAAATAATAGAAAACAAATAATAGAAAACAAATGGAGTAGAAGCTTCTTCTGTGTAATACTAATTTTTAAATAACTACACTGTAAAAAAGTATTTGGCGAAATTGAGCAAAAATGTGACAAAATAGCACCGAAACAAATAACAGTTAAAGAACAGAAGAAATAACAGAAGAATTTGAAGAATCCCTATGTATTCAAAATTGAAACGCAGCATGTGCTCATTTTTGAGCAAAATGCAAAGTTTCAAACATGGTGAGGAGAAAGAAATGCACGAGAGAGAGAGACCTTTAGCAAGTTTCGAACCAATAACCTCCGTAGCAAAATGCTCTGACCACTTTAAATGTACGCTCTAATACAGGAAGAATAAGGAAGCTTATATAATGGTCATCGCATTGACTCGCTACATACATTCCATTCACTTAAAAGGTTTTAAGATGTAGCAAAGTAAATTTCTTTAAAAAAATGAAATTAAAATTACTGATTTCCTGACGAAGCTATTGGGAGCATATTTTCCAAATAGCAACCCTTTGTACCATTTAAATTGGAAATTAG